GGGGGGGGGGGCAGAGACGGCGGCGGCGGCGGGAGGGGGGGAGGCGGGTACGAGCACGAGGTGGATTACGGGATGAGAATGGGCAGAACTCAGCAGCACCAGATGTCCTCCATGGGGGCTCCGTGGGAGATGGAGCAGGACGGGCATGGGCACGGGGGCGGCGGGGACATGATGCCAAAGGTGGGCAAGCGCGACGGAGAGAACCCAACGAGCACCGTTGTAAATAGATTGTGTGATTCAGTGCAGCTCTGCCGAACATTCTCGCGCTGCAGTTTTTTCAGCACCGACTTCTCCGGTTGGTCGTGCTACTACTGTACCTTGTTTTTTATCTGACAAGATATTGCTGTGGTTCGTTTTATTTTTCGATTCGTCGCTTCTGTTGCTACCGCTGCTGCAATCATGCACCAGTTTTCTTGTCCCCCTACCGCCGCACCCGCTCCGGCTGCGGCCGCGCCCCCCCTCGCTGGTCAGCCACGATGGTCCAGCAGCAGCAGCAGGCGGCGAACCGTGCGGTGGTGCAGGCGCAGGACAAAGCTAAGCTTTTGTGGGGGTGGCGATGCCGAAGAAAGGGCTGTGAAGAAAAGCTCTAAGGGGGCCCATTCCTTCGCAGTCCTTCCCTCGGTATCGCCATCTTCATCGTACACTTTGTCCTCCGCCGCCAACATCACCGCATGGTTCGCCGCCGTCTGCAGGGATTGGGCTGTCATGCCTGACGAGCGAGGGGGGTCAGCGGCCGCCGCGGCCGCATTTGGGGGGGGGATGTGACATGTAGCGCGTCCGAACGGTGTAGACCGGGTGGTAACTTAGCGGTGGTGAGAGAGTACGATGGTCAAGGGGCTACCGCACCTCTGGCCCCGTACTGTACCCCAATTGATGGACATTATCATCACTCATTGGTCTTGTTATACACCTATATATCATGCGAAGAAATTCACACAAAAGAGGGAGTCATCTTCGTTGCGTGCTTGTCTGCGTGCCGCTGCGTGCGCACCCCCTCCCTCTCTCTGCTTGGTCTGCAACCATTCGTTGGTCATTTTTTGTGGTGCACCTCTTGTTGAGCTGGCGCGAGTGCGCCCTCCTTCTCCATGTCACTCCATGTTTCTTGGCCGAAGGCAGCAGCAGCAGCAGCAGCAGCAGCAGCAGCACCTCTAATGCCATCTCATCCCCATCTTGTTTTGATCCAGATGGCAAAGAGGTCAGCGGGAGGAGGCGGCGGGGGCAGGGGAAGGAACGGCCGGGTTAGCTCTTCGGGCTCCGCCCCCGCCCACGGCAGCCTCCCCCTCATGACAGACCGCGGGATGGCTATGTCGGGCGGCGGCGGCGGCGGCGGCGGCGGCGGGGACGATACGAAGGGCCGGAGGCAGAAGACAGACAGAGGTGGCGGTGGCGGAGGAGGAGGAGGCGGTGGGGTCACCGGGGACGCGGGAGTGAAAGCCCCTCCCGGAAAGAGGAGGAAAGGCGTCCCGGGGTGGAGAGGTACGTTGGTGAAACCGTTTTTTTAAGGTTTATGCCCATGTGTTGGGAAATATTGGGGATCATCGTGGTATTCGCGCTTGTATCCGAATAGCCCTTACTTGTACCCTTTGGAACAGACCGGGTGGTTGTTGCATAACACGATGAAGTCACCTCTACCCACAGCTCATGAGTCCAGGATACGATGGGAGTGAATCCATAGCGTTGGCGAGGGCACTATAACACCTGTATCTCTACGATCCCCCGTTTTTCGACGAGCGATGTACTGCCAACCGTCCCTAAAAATATATTGTTGGGAGAGTCACCGAAAGTTGTTCGAGCAAGACCGTGGGGTAGGTGTGGACTGCGGGCGGTACGGTATGCACAACTGCCGAAGGGGTGTTGTGGTAAGTTTTTGTGACAAACGTTTCTCCGGATCTTGGTCGACCTTGGACCCCAAGGAGAGTTAGCTATTGGTGACACAATGATGCTGGCTAGGTCAATGGAGGCATCCCTCCGACAGCTGCGCATTCCGTAGTACTTGCTGCCATTGGCTAACAAGGCGTTCTTTGTCGGAGTGAAGCCAACAAGAATAAAACTCCGAATTATTTGGTTGGCCGTTTTGTGTGGATTGTCGAGGTCCTTCGCGGGGGCATCACTAAAATACTCTTAAACCTATCTTGACGATCTATTCTGCGTGTCCCCCAGTGTTCCATCGGCCTACTAGTCGACAAGAAATGATGACAACGTCAGTGGCAACAGCATGACGTGGATTTTTGCTTGGCAGGACTCTTCTCTCAACCTTTCTATCTGCGTGCTCCCCCCCCTGACAGAAGTGTGTTGGGTGTGCTTTTGTGTGTTTCTTGCCCAAACCATTGAGCTGACGACTCTTTCACACATGTGGACTCTCGCAGGGAACGTGCAGCCGTTTTTGTGGTTGCGCGAGCTGTGTCTGGGGGTGTTGATGATGAAGACGCCGTACGCTTTGTTCGCCGCTACGGCTGTCTCCTGTGGACAGCTCTCTTTTGAGCTTGCGCGACATGTGGCTTTAGCGTGGCGACCCCGCCTGTTCCCGTGACACCCTCTCGACGAGTCAGGTCCATCCGTGACGGAGTACTGTCGTGGCGGGCGGGCGGCTGATGTTGCATCGTTCCTTCTCTCTTCCGCTTCCGTCGTTTGTATCCAGCCAAAAACGGAGAGCAGGTGGCGGTGCGGGACGATAGGGAGGAGCCAGGAGCGTGGATCCTTGCGCGGGTGATCAAGTACGTGCCGGACACTCACCACTACGAGGTGAGCCAACAATGCCGTGCTGCTGCTGTAGCGCCCGAGGGAGCTCGGGTTCCGGAGGTACATGATCGTACATTTGCGTACGTCGGTGAATAGCTGCGCCTGTGCTCCTTGTCTACATGGAACTAAGAAAGTCCTTGTTTTTGATCCGTTTCTTTTTTGTGTGGCCCCGCCTGATGCCTCAAAGATACAATGGTGTAGACTGGCGCCCGAATAGTTGGGACGGACGGGTACACTGTGCGTACGAGTACCAGTTGTGCCAACGGCGGTGCTTGTGCTGAGAGTCAATTTTTGGTATTTTGCCGCACTCCGCACTTGACGTTTGACTACACTACACGAGAGCTCATTCTGGGGTGTGCTGCCACATTTTGCGCCTGCAGTCGAGCATCCCAGAGCTACAACAGTTGTGGATGCACTGTGTTCCGCTCGTGAAAGTAAACATTCCTCTTGAGCTAAATCGAAACAATCGTGGGACTCCATTTTTTATCCGCGTTTCTTGTGTCTCGTGTGTGCAGTTGAAAGACGATGACGACAAGGAGGGCATCGGCATCCTCACTGCCCCGCGGTCCCTGGTGATCCGACTCGAGGACAGCACCAAGGGAGTGCAGAAGGGCGAGAGGGTTTTGGCAGTGTTCCCCGACACGACTAGCTTCTACCTCGGCACCATCCACAGGGTAATGAGGCGTCTTGATATTGTTACAAGTATTGTTGTGTTCTTATGATTGCTGTTGCTGATGCTGCTGGCGTTGCAGTTGTTATGGCTGTGGCCGTTGAACGAAAAAACTGTTGTTTTGTTGTTGCTGCTGCTGCTGCGGCTGCTTTGCGGCTGAAAAGATAACCCTGGCTGTGAACGGAAAAAGTTCATTTTGCGCTGGCTGTTTTTGTTTCAAGTACAAAACAAACCACGGTTCTCGAAGAGGAACTATGACTGATGTCTACCCGCACCACACTAACATTCTTAGCTGCCCTTTAGCATTGTTGGAAGGAACGATTGGCCATCATCGGTGATCGATCCTGTGGGAGTAGTGCTCCGCCCTCTCGAGGACGCGTGGTCAATGGTTTATCAACCAGAGCATGTAAAACATGAGTACCCCCCCCCCCCCCCCCCCCCCCCCCCCCCCCCCCCCCCCCCCCCCCCCCCCCCCCCCCCCCCCCCCCCCCCC